AGATGGAAACTGAAGATGTGTAAAGGCTTGTGTTATGCAGATACATTCTGCTTCAAGAAAACAAAGGCTGGAGATGTGAAGAGCTCTCAAGAAGCCAATGAGGACTTCTATTTTAGTGTGGTGTCTTGGTGTGAATAGAAGTGTATAAGATTGTCCTTGTTGGTAGGTTTTCTATAAATTTTGAAGAGAAGTTTTTCACTGTTAGGAGATCTGCATAGGAGGATGTCGAAGAAAGGAAGTTTGCCATCTTTTTCAGGTTCAAGTGTAAACTTTATTGATGGTTTGGCTACATTGATCTTGTTGAGGGCAGCTTGGATATTGAGACATCTTGGATAGAAAACCAATAAAGATGCTGCATTTCTCTGTCTCTAGGTTTTCCATGAAGAGATTGGTAAGCACAGCACTGAGCGGGCTGCCCACTGCCATCCCAAAGCTTTGTTTGTAACAGTTGTCCTGTTACTTGAAGAAGTTGAAATTAACAGAGATCCACTAGACTGATGAAATTTAAAAGAGGTAAAGGGAGGTCGTCGTTTTCAGTGAGCCTCTGTCTCAGAATGTTCATTGCAGCATCAGCAGGAACACTGGTAAAGAGAGCTGTGACATCGAAGGAAGCCATGCTTTTGATTTTAACATTCAGGATGGAAATTCTGAGTTTGAGGTGGGCTTGACTGATGGTGCCCAGAAGTGCTGAAAGGTAATTGGCAAGGTGGCCAGCTAATCCGTGTGGTATGTTCCCTAAGCCGAAGTGATAGGGCGTAGTGGGATGCCAGGCTTGTGTGTCTTAGGAAGGCCATACAGGCGTGCTGGTTTCGGTTAACCTGGTAAAAGTGTCAGTTTCTTTCCTTGTTCTGATTTTCTTAAGATGCTATGGGCCTTTTGAAGAAAAGTTTAGGTGCTTTGAAGTAACACTGATTCTGAAACAGGCTGGTATGTGTTGGCATCACCGAGGAGATTTAAAACTTTATTGTTGTAGTTGACAGTGTTGAGTAACACCACACCTCCTCCTCTGTCAGAGGTGGTAATGATGATATCATCGTTAGCCAAGTCCCTGAGTGCTTGGAAGTATCCTCTGGGAATGACAGGTCTCGAAGGCTCAGTAGCAGCAGCAGTGATAATTCCTTGAACGATACCTATATGAAACTCGGAGTCCCCTAAAGGTTGGTTCTTGGTTACCATGTCCACCAGATGATGTTTCTTCTTGTGCTCTAGGCTGAAGGCTTCTGTCTCTGTAGTGGTTAGTGTATAGGAAGATAAAGTTATGTATGATTTCTGGTCATCCCATTTCGCTCCATTTGCTGTGGGAGCACAGGCTACCATGTCCATAATTTGGTGGGCACGGTAACCAAGAATCGACCTTTTGGGGACTCCAAGTTTCATAAGGGTTTCATTCAAGGAATTATCATTGCTGCAGCTACTGAGCCTTCAAGACTGGTCATTCCAAGAAGAGACATCAATGGGCAGTCTGCTCTGTGCTATGCTTGCCAATCTCTTCATGGAAAACCTAGACAGTGAAATTCAGCACCCTCATTCCCAACACCGTTACCTGGCTAAGGTAAACTGATGATATATTGGTTTTCTATCCAAGACATCTCACTATCAAGGCCCTCCTCAACAAGATCAATGCAGCCGAATCATCAATTAAGTTTACACCTGAACTAAAAAACGATGGCAAACTTCCTTTCCTCGACGTTCTCCTGTGCAGATCTCCCAACAGTGAAAAACTTTTCTTCAAAGTGTGTGGAAAACATATCAACAAGGACGATCTTATACACTTCTATTCACACCAAGACACCCACACTAACTTCTGGTTAGTGTGACTTTGTAAATGGTCCAAGTCGGACCGAAACGTTGTCGTAAGCTTCTCTCTTTTATGTGCGGGTTATTTGTGTATTGTTCCAGTCACGGTATTGTGCCTTTTTTTGTTATTTAAAAGAGGAGTCCTCATTGACTTCTTCTTGAGAGCTCTTCATATCTCAAGCCCTTGTTTTCTTGAAGAATGTATCTACATACACAAGCCTTTACACGTCTTCAGTTTCCATCTTTCATCCAGGATTGCAGGCTCAAGGCACAAGCTATCCTCAACCAACCACTCAGGAACAGCCCTCTAAGTAGTTCATAGTGCTTCCATGTGGTGATGTTGCCACGAATACTTGCCAGGCACATACTAAGAATAACATAAATGTTTCCACCATAAACACATCTATCAAAGACCTCACTATGAAATGCAGCCCCACACCTCTAACTTCCACAGCAGGTGTCTACACCATCCCTTGTGGATTCTGACCCAAGAAATATGTAGGTGAAACAGGCAGATATCTTGCGGTCCACTGGAATGAGCATCGAAATGGCAGTAAAAGAGATGATTTAACCCTTTCAGGGTTTCCGACGTACTAGTACGGCTTACGTACCAGGGTTATTGACGTACTAGAACCCCTAAATTCTAGCGCCTTCAAATTTAGCAAGAGAAAGCTGGTAGGCCTACATATGAAAGAATGGGTCTATGTGGTCAGTTTACGCAGTATTTATTTTTTATTTATTTATTTATTTTTTATTTGGACATGATACATAGTTGTACAAAGAAATATAGTGACTGGGTGCACATGCCAAAAGCCCCTTGTATGCAGAGCATTATGGGCAAGCTTAAAATTAACTTAAGATTAACTAAGCAATGATATATACAGTTCAATTAAGTTTATTAAGTCACAGGTACACACAAGTACAACTATCTTATATAGTGTAAATTACCTAGGATAACCCTACAAAAAAAATGTCAAATAAGGCCAGGATGAATTACAACACCTGGATATGCTGAATGTTGAAGACAGAGTAAAACAATTTGAAGTTAAATCAAGTTTATAAAATTGCTCATGAACAGTGTCCAGAATATCTTGCTGCCAATTATGTCAAAGCAATCATAGTACTAGGGGGAGATAATTATTATTATTATAATCATGGGGGAGCTCTAAACAGTATAAAAAATCCTGCAGCTCACAGTGAGTATGAGAAAAAAAACTTCGACAATGTTTCGATTAAAACAGGCTTCGTGATTTTACATACGTTATATTTGGTTGTTTAAGTTCAAGTTAAAACAATTTTAAGTAAAAAGTTACTTAAATTGGCCAAAGACATGTTGATATTTTCAAAGTTCAAATAACAAATCTCAAGTCCAATACGAGGGTAATGTGATTATTATTATATCATGGAGCTCAAAGCATATAAATAACATCTGCAGCTCCAGTGAGTCATGAAAATAAAATTTTTATTTTTTGTGTTTCTGGATTAAATCAGTGGACTAGTAGTAATTTCGTAATAGTGTTGGGTGATCTAGTTTCTGGTCATTATAGACTGAAAATACCTTGAAATTGAGCTCAAAGTAGCGGTAAAGTTGATTTTACAAAGTTCCACAGTAACGAATCTTGACAGCATCAATAAGTACTGGTGAGTCTAGATTCTTTCGCAAATGCACTGAGATTATTTATCAATTTCTAACTTATTGCAGTGTCTGCATACAGAAATTTTTCATTTTTTTGAGAATAAAAATTCAAAGTGGAACAACTATTTGTATGTAGGGCCTGGGGCTGGACGTTTGAACGAACAGAAATTGTTATTTTAGTGCCAGGAATGTCTGTCTTGTTTATTCTGGACCCTATTTGGATATTGGTATCTTCTGAAATTTGTGTGAAATTGGCAAAATTGCCAATTTCTAACCACTTTATTGGATAGTTGAAATTGGTAATTGGGTAGTTTCTTGTACTCATTCGATAGAAATGAGTACAAGAATGCTGTATAGCCCTTGTGATTTAGTGCTTCTTTTTGATTATAATAATAATCTCGACCCTGAAAGGGTTAAGGTATGCCTGTTTCTTCCACAGAGACTCCATGGGGCATTTGATGAACTGGGATAAGGCACAACTCTTTCTCATTGAACAAGACCTTAGATGCCGACAGTGTCTAGAAGCCTCGCTAATCACTGTCACCAATACAATAGAACGTAACACTGGAAAGCACAAAATTTCTAAAACATCAGCAGACATGATACTCAAGCAGGCAAAGCACCACCTACCCAGCAACACAGGAGTCACATGATCTCATTGTCTACCCGTCCTCATCCCAGTATGGCATTCTTCAGGTCACCATGCGTCCCTCACACCTCACTCTCCGCCAATATATACTGTCTTTTAACCTTTGTATGTTAGACGTGATTGAGGTCTCAGGACTGAAACGTTTTCTAATAAATATGTCCTAGTATTTGCTTACGTGTTCTTCTAAACCAACTTGTCGGTATTTATTACCAAGGTTTATACCATATATATTTCTTGACCGATTTGAACCAAAAAACAAGAACCTACAACACATGTACTAAGTTATCATATACTAAATAAAACACAATAATATGGAAAAAGTACAAAATTCAATCCTAAATCCTACAGTTAATACAGTAAGAATTGGATTTGTACCATTCTAATTAGTATGACAAATGTTTTTCTGTCATGTACCATATCAAATGTCTTCTAAGCATTTAAGAAACAGGTACAAAGAGCCACTCCTGTTGTATAAATCTGTGACTTCTTTTGTACTAGGATAAACAGTACCACACCAAGACTCTGAATCCATATTGATAATCTGTAAAAACTGTAATTCTATTAAGTATTACATTTTCAAAGATTTTTGACAATATGCAGTAGATGCAATTCCTATGGGCAAGTAGATTTCAGTCTTTGTTAGCTACTTTACATTATTTTTTATAGGAGAAATGCTTAACACATCTAATCATCTAATATCCTGTAGGGTATGACCTGATGCACAATGTATTTATTTATTACAGCAGTGATAGTGAAATACTTAGTGTGAGCAAAATTTGTCACTTTTTCTAAAGTGGAGATACAAATAACAGACTATACAGTACAACCTATTCAAGAAATTCTCAGAACAAATAAAATTACTGTACCTGTATTAGCTTCAAGAAAACTATATCTGCAAACTGGATCAAAACCTCTTACCTGTTGGATCCCTTAACACTGTTGTGGCATCTGAATGTGTCACGTCAAGGTTGCGCACTATCACAGCTAAAAAAGGAATTTTGCGAACACCTGCTTTACCTCGCAAACTGGCTCTTCTAAGTAGCCACTTAATGTTAAATACTTGCAAAGGAGATACTGGGTCAGTCTGATCTAGCTCCAAATCATTCATCATTTGCAACCAAGGTCCTCTAGAGAAGTCATCTACAAAGTTTTGAGAGCATACAATCTCCTGAAATGTAATGGAAAATAATGCACAGTACTATAGTTTCACAAAATAAAAATGATAATAAAAGAAACACAAAGAGTACTACTAATTTTTTTTTTTTTTTTTTTGGAAGCAAATAAACTCGTTTCTCTGAGCTCAACCTGGTTTTTGCAGCTTCTACTCAACCCTGTACCTCCTGACACAGTTAGAACATGACACTGAAGAATGTTTTATTAAAGATATACAGTGGACCCCCGCCTTACAAACGCATTGCGTTACATTAAATCCGTCATACGAAGCATTTGAATGCAAAAATTTTGCCTCGTCTCACGATAAAAAACTCGCCTCACGTGATTCATCCGGGACGCGTCCCACGTGTGGCCTCAGCTGCCCCATGGGTGCCAGTGTTTACAAGCCAGCCAGTGCGGTCGCATCCACACATACATTCGGTAAATTTCACCTTATCCCAGTGTTTTTTGTGCTTGTAACTGCAAAATAAGTCACCATGGCCCCCGAGAAAGCTTCTAGCGCCAACCCTGTGGTAAAAAGGGTGAGAATTAGTATGGAAATTAAGAAAGATTTTGAAGGGTTTGGGGCTAACCCTGAGAAGCCTATGCCAGTTGTGGAATCCATTGTGCCTACTTCAACGATTAAGGAAATGTGTGCAAAGTGGGTTGAAGTGCAAACCTTTATGGATGAAAATCACCCTAACACAGTTATTGCAAGCTGTGCTGGTGACTATTACAATGACAATGTTGTGGCCTATTTTAGGTAAATCTTAAAGGAACGGGAGGTACAGACCTCTATGGACAGATTTGTTGTGTGACAGAGGTCCAGTGACTCTCAAGCTGGTCCTAGTGGCATTAAAAGAAGGGAAGTAACCCCGGAAAAGGACTTGCTACCTCAAGTCCTAATGGAAGGGGACTCCCCTTCTAAACAATAACTTCCACACTCTCCCCTCCTCCCATCCCATCAATCATCACCAGATCTTCAATAAAGGTAAGTGTCATGTATTCTATTCTTAGTAGAGTAGTAATTGAACATGTCTTCTTCAGTTTGTGTGTATTAAAATTAATATTTCATGTGGTAAAAAAAAATTTTTTTCATACTTTGGGGTGTCTTGCACAGATTAATTTGATTTCCATTATTTCTTAAGGGGAAAATTAATTCGCCTTACGATAATTTCAGCTTACGATGAGCTCTCAGGAACGGATTAATATCGTAAGGCGGGGGTCCACTGTATATAGTGTTGTTGGTGGTCCTTTTATAACACTGAAAAGATATATAACATAGCTTATTGATATGGGATTTTTAACATGTTAACTGTCCAAATGTAAATTATGTTCTCTCGCCCAGCACTCCAAATATTTTGGAAAAAAAAAATAATTTTTTTTTATAAAAATAAAGAGCGGATTTTTCTATGTGTAATAGAACAAAAAAAAAATTTTTAGGGTCAATACTTACCGAGATATGAGGCTGCAAAGTTGGCACTTGATGATCGCCTGACAGCAACATGGAGCACTGCCACTTGCAGAAATTCTACATATTTATCATTTTCTTCTATTTTTTTTTTAATTTTCTTAGTTTTTATGGTACGATAATTATGTTTTATAGTAAATCTTTTGACTTCATGAATAACTGTTGTTTATACACAAATATTATATACAAAATTATTATTCATACTGTCACAAACACATGTACACACTGATAGGTGATTCTGTACTCCTGGCTGAATCATATTCTATTATCTACAACTATATACAAGTATTTACATGTCCCACTTAAGTTTCTAGAACTCCATGATTGTACGATACTCCATGAAGCATGGATTCATACAGAGTGCCACCCCACATTAGTGATACATGAATCGTGTGTCCTTCCGCTGTTGGTTCGTTTTGTGGTGGTAGCACATACAACACTTTTTTCTGAGAATACTTCTTCTTTGGGGTAGGTGGTATTGGTATCAGGTAGTGACAGTTACGGATGATTCAGTCTGGCGCTTCCCCCACTGGTTGTGGTTGGGGGACATGTCACTATTCAGGGGCAGGTACAGGTGTGGTACTATACTTTTTTGCTATCTGTTTTATGACATTCAGAAGAATTCTGTAAACCGATGTCGTTTTCCAGTCTTTATTTCGCACATATTGAAGGCACTGAGCATTGCAATGTCTACAAGGTGGAAAAACACTTTGTACCACTTGTGACTCCTACACACACAGTCAACGAACCCTATCAACACATCACAATTGTTGATAGTTGCATATTGCTCGTATAGTCAATGACAGCAGCTGGCTTTACAATACGTTCATTGGTGTCTCTGTTCATTATGTCTGTACCATCTCATTACTGTGGATAATTGACAGCAATGTCACATCCCATTTGTCATGCCACGTCAGTGCCGTGATATCATTGGCATGAAATGCTTGCACTGCACCATCAGCACTGTCTCCACTGAACCTTGGTTTATGTTTTCTATTTCTTCTCACTGTTCCACATATATCAGTATTGTTCACACATAGGAAATCAGCGAGCATAGGGCTTGTATACCAGCCGTCTGTGTATAATGCATGACCCTTGCCAAGGTATGGCCCCGTCATCTTGCAAAAACATCACCAGAAATGCCCAATATCCATCTGTCATCATCGAGTGTGCTTTCTCCCAGTGTATACAATGACATCCAACACAACACCACTCTCACAATTACACATCACAAAAAGTTTTATACCAAAGCGATTATGTTTGCTCAGTATATATTGCTTGAATGATAGGTGTCCCTTGAACAGAATCAAGGACTCGTCGACAACAATGTTCTTGAAGAGATAAAAGTAGGAACTGAATTTCTGCTTCATATACATAAACACTTCCTGGATTTTGTATGAAGGTCATTTCTGTTAGGCCTATTCCTGTCTGAGAAGTGCAACATTCGTAGCAACAGAGTGAATCTGTTGCAGTGAAGGAGGTCACAGAAGACAGGAGTACTGATGTAGTCTGTGGACCAGTAATGTGCTATATTGTGCTTGTATGTATGTGGCATAAGCATGACAGTGCCAAGGAATAAATACATTTCATCCACAGTTTCCACCTGCGCAGCCATGACGATTCTGCAACCTCTGTGTTGTCCATGATGTAGTAGTTATAATTGTTCATCTGGGTGACAATCAAGTTCATTGTAGGCTCGTCAATGTATAATTGGAAGAAGTCTAACTCTCTAAACTCATTCGTTATGGGACATTCTGGCAGGATGCCGATGCCACTTTCACTGGCATCAAAATCAAAAGGCTGTGGCACGAATATACTTTGTGCCCAGTTCCACTCATGGTCACATGGTGCATGGTGGACCTATGGCATGGGGTGTGGGGGAGCAGGAGGAGGGACGGGATTGGAGGCAGAACATGGCTGAGGGGGTGCTGCGCGGTCCTTTGTCTGTCCATCCACTGTGGACAGCCATGTGGTCCAGGCACCATGCCACCTACCACTACCACCTCCTCTTCCTCCATCCCAGCATATTCTCCTTCACGATCACTATCACTATCAGTGGCCAGGGTTTTGGATTGTGACCTCCCATGACCCTTGGGGACTGCATATGGCGCACTGTCTGAACATAGGCGATGACACCTAAAAGTAAGCTTCACTGAGGAATAATGAATATCACTATCACTCGACAAATCCTCTAATGGCATAAAATCTATCTTATCGTCACTTACATCACTTTCACTATCGTCATCCCTAAAACAGCGGGAAAATGATAGTTTCCTCTTGCATAGTTGCCTCTGGGTAGTAACACTGTCCACTCCAGAGGCGCTTGGCCCAGGGTCTTGTGTGACCACACTGGCCACCCCAGAAGTGCTTGGCTGGGGATCTGGCATGGCCACACTGGTCACCCCAGAGGTGATGGGCTGAGGATCATCTGGGTTATCATCAATATTTTCATTAATTCCTTGATAATTATTGGCCACATTGGTCTCAAATCCACTAAACATAGGCTCTGTATCACTTTCCTCAAATAAGAGTGTTAATATGACGAGGCGTGAGTGAATCATGAGGGTTTGCCATGATGTTGACCCAAGATGGAGCTGAATGTAACTGGTGCTACCATGTGGTACTACAGGGTCCCCGATTTTTTTCATACAGCACACACTGAGTGCACAGAGCCATTCTCTGTCTAGGCCGCCTAGGCCTATCGCACCAAATTTAAAGCCAGGAAAAATAAAATGTAGATCTACGTTCAGAGTGCTAGCAGTAAGAACATAGATCTACGTTTGGACAGTTAAGGGGTTAAGATACAGTGGAACCTCGGTATGCGACCTTAATTCATTCCAGAAGGCTGTTTGAGTGTTGCTCCGTTTGAATATCGAACAAGTTCTTCCCAACCAATTTTCTGCTTGGTTGGCTGTTATCACTAATACAAAAAAAAAAAAAAAAAACACCAAAAAATGTGAAGAAACACGAAATAGTTTACAGCGAAGTTTTGGCAGGTCATATTTGTTTGGTCGAGTGCTGAGCTTTGTTCGAGTAGGGAGCTGGTCGTATACTGAGGTTCCACTGTACTTCCCTCATATGGACTGCATGACTTATGTTCAAGGAAGAGCATTCTTTCTCTCACCTCAGCAAATTATATTCACGGAATATGTTAAATCAATATGGGTTATTAATCACTGTACAGAAGAAGTAAAAAAAAATGAAGGGGAGGGGGGGGGAGCTGGGGCTGTTGAGGTAAAGACATTGGCTGAAAGGATGGAGAAGAGCGTCACAGTTGGAGTAAATTGGCGTTGGGTAAGAAATCCTAGAGCGAGTCTGCAGTAATGGCAGGACCATCATAGAGGGGGGGGTTGACAAAGCATATCAGGACATTAAAGAAGTCATCTAAAATGAAGTTTTCACATTAGCAATGTTAAATAACAAAAAAGGCACAATACCGTGACTGGAACGATACACAAATAACCCGCACATAGAAGAGAGGAGCTTACGACGACGTTTCGGTCCGACTAGGACCATTTACAAAGTCACTTGTGTGACTTTGTAAATGGTCCAAGTCGGACCGAAACGTCGTCGTAAGCTCCTCTCTTCTATGTGTGGGTTATTTGTGTAGCAATGTTAAATCTTTCATTCTACAATATAAACACAACTGGAACTGTTAATCTTAAATACACCTACTACTTTCCTTTTGGTCTGAAGGGCATAATGCAGATAGATATGTAGACAAAGACTCAAGCAAGAAAAACAAGCTTTATTTGGGCATTTCACACTACATATCAGTATAGCTTTTCAAGTCACAGAGGATTACATTCAACATGTATAAAAGCACATGAAAGAGAAGTGAAAATAGGTGTAAGATCCATGTAGAAGTGATGAATATGTTATTAGAAGTAAACTGGGCAGTCACCTGATCAAGGGCCTGATCCATATTTCACAGTCCTCTGATTTTCACATTTACATTCTTGGTCAGGTAAAATCCACATGAATCTGACCTACACCTACTACCAAAACACTGTCCATATAAAAGCTTATTCTGTATGCTTGTCTTTGTCTACATAAAGCATTTTCAATTTACTATATTTCGTGCAATTCAATCTTTTCTTACCTTGCAACTAAATTTCACTCAGTGCAATGAAGATATTTGGTTTCCTTTCCTTTTTAACAAATACTGTACAATTATTCTTTTCTTTATACAGTATTCATATTTCAGTACATCTGCACATGTCCAAAAATAATGAGATAAATATTTTGGTCTCTGCTTTTGGGTATTAAAGAGAAGGAAAAAACAGCACCTTTTTCTTGATATTTTAGTTGCTTTATGACATACACTGCTTACAAGGAAAGGATTCTCACATTTCCCAATTAGGTTGAGGTAAAAATTTGTGGATCTGAGAAACTGAAACATGCAGGAAAGTACCACTAACAAATGTATAATGAGTACAGTGGTACCTCGAGTTTCGTACAGCTCCCAACTAGAACAATTATGTAAGTGTATTATTGTAAGTGATTTTGTAAGTGCATTTTTGGGGGTCTGAAATGGACTAATCTACTTTACATTATTCCTTATAGGAACAAATTCATTCGGTAACGGCACTCAAACAGCCTTCTGTAACGAATTATGGCCGAAACTTGGGGTACCACTGTATAAGCTGAAGCCATAAGTTCAGAATATCCTAATGCTCATAACAGTAAATAAAAACTAGCACTTCTACAAACACGCAATATGTTACACAGGTTTTCATTTTATTACTCATATTACTAAACAAAAAAATACCAACTGGCTATGGTTAATTAAGAAATCACTACCATAGGGAAGGTATAGGGCAATACTTTTCTTGTATCAAAAGCAACACAGTCTGGTAGAGATGTACATTTTCTAAACAACTGAATTATTCTTTTAATCAATGTCCTTTCTTCCTCCTTCCAAGAGGAAGAACAGAATATTTGATGAGTGTATGCAACAGCTTGTTTGTGCAATTTTCATACTTTTCTTTTTGCTTATGATATTCTTATATCTCAATGAAAGTACATAAATGGTGTCTGCCTTGCTTAAGATGATAGCAAAACCAACATTTGTAATACATTACCAATTGTGTCACTTAAAAGTACTTCTTAAAATGTTTTAACAATTAAACATAAATGAGATAATTAAGAAAACATTTACAAAATGCCTAACTTGAAAAGCCTTGCCCCAGGCTGGGCTGCTTGAATAGAAAAAAACACTTGAAAATGGTCACAGGCTATATCTCCTTCCTTCCTTACGTGAGGAAGGTGTGATTTAAAAGGAAATATAGTTTCACGATATATGTATGTATAATGTGCGTTCACTCACTCACTCGCTCGCTCACTCACTCACTCGCTCACTCACTCACTCACACACACACACACACACCACACACACACACACACACACACACACACACACGCACACCACACACACACACACACACACACACACACACACACACACACACACGCACACACACACACACACACACACACACACACAACACACACACACACACACACACACAAACCTAACCTAACAAAACACATAGCTTATAAATCCCCCACACACACACATTTTTACAATAAGCTGAAGCAGTAGAACATCCCAACAGGATAAAAACAAAATGGGCTCTCAAAAGGGAGGACGTAAAGGCAAGGGAACCGATGATGGCTGGTCGGAAAAGGAAGAATTGGTAGAACGGCTCAAGAACAAAATGGAACAACAATGGGAGAAAAGGTTAAACGAGCTTTGCAATAACATGTTAGAGCAAATATCTGCAGAGAGCAAGAAGTGGGAATCATGAGCTGTAGTAGCTGAGGCAAAGATACAGAGATTGGAGGAAGAAATGGATGTGCTGAAGCAGGATCTAAAGATGAGGTCTGAAAGGAGCAAGATGACTGAAATGGGAACATCAGCAGGCAGCGAGGGGACTGAAGGAAATCAGATCCAGAGATACAGAGGGAAAAGAAATGGGAAGAGGAGAGGGAGAGGTCAATAATTATTCATGGGCTTCAGGTGGCTGAAGGGCAGACCTATGATGAAAGAAAGCATTGGGAGAAAACAGAGATTAAGAACATCATTGCAATAACAGGAGAGAGGGACATGTCTCAGGTAGAAAATTTTCACAGACTTGGGGGGTGTTCGAGGGAAAAAAAATCGACCGATCAGATTGACATTCAAGACAGATGTGGTACGGAACAGGATACTACAACAGAAACCACTGTTAAAGGACTCTCCAGATTATCAAAAAGTGTTCCTCAATCGAGACAGAACACGAAAGGAAAGGGAACAACTGAAAGTGAGAGCAAGACAGAACCAGTGGAAGGAAAGAGAGACAGGACAGGCAATGACAGACAGGAAAACTCAGCCTTTGGGGGAACATCAAACACAAATGCTTACAGAAATCTCTCAACCCCTGTCACCACATATCAACCAAATGCAGTAAACAGAAACTAACCTCACTCCATAGCCACCACCCCCCTAAGCACTAATTCCACAATCACAGCAGCCTCCCACAATATTGTGCCCTGCCTCCCACCCTCCCAGCCTGCACCTTCCTCTTCAATCTCCCAAAATACAGTAATGGAAAGGAAGTTAAAGGTATGGTACACCAATGCAGATGGAATAACAAATAAGAGCGAAGAGTGGCAAGAACGCATCATTGATGCATCACCTGACATCTTAGCACTAACAGAGACAAAACTTACAGGGATGATAACAGATCCAACTTTTCCACCTGGATATCAGATTATGAGGAAAGGCAGAGAGAACAGAGGAAGGGGAGGAGTAGCATTGCTCATAAAAAAACAGTGGAGTTTTGAGGAGATGGGAGGAATGGAAAGAAGGGAAACAGACGACTTCATTGCAGGAACACTTCAGACTGGTGGTCCAAAGGTGATGACAGCAGTGACGTATAACCCACCACTTAACAGCAGGAGAACAAGAGAAGAGTATGATGTGCGCAATAGGGCAATGGTGAATACACTAGCTGAAGTGGCCAGGAGGGCTCATATGGGAAGGACAAAATTCCTTATAATGGGGGATTTCAATCATACAGAGATTGACTGGGAAAACCTAGAGCCACATGGGGGACCAGAAACATGGAGGGCTAAGATGTTGGAGACTGTATTGGAGAACTTTATGTATCAACATGTTAGGGATACAACCAGAGAGAGAGGAGAGGA